TTATTGACGAGGAAGGAAAAAGAAAGGAATTTTTCTGGGGAAGAAAATGGCCTGTAAAAGCTGTACAAAAGCATAGTCAATTAGCTGCTGGAATGACTAATTTCTAGGTGGGTGGATCTGAGCAGACTGCAGAAACCTGTGTTAAGCCCCAAGGCTCTGCTCCCAGCACGTGGGAGAAGTACCTCAGCAAGGGATCCAAAAGCATGAGCACATCTGCTGGGGAGCTTTATGACACAGGCAATAGGGCATGGCCCAGAGGAGGCCAGGCAGGCTCTGAACCTCCCCTGGGCTGCAGTCATGAACCTTTTTCAGCAAAATAGAGATCTCAGTCCTTCCCTCCAGGTACCTGAGCAGGAGTCAGCTTTTAATTTTTATTTAAAAGCTTCTCTGAGCGCTGCTGAGTGGTTAAGGCAGGGGAGATGTGCCAGCAGGACTTTCACTCTGCTGCTGGTGAACACCACCTGCTGTTTCACAGGGCAGGAGGAGGAGACACTCCCTCAGGGGAGAGGATGAGGGTAAGAAGGAGGAGAAGGAGGAGGAGGAGGAGGAGAAAATGATGGAGGAGTTGTTCCCTGTCGTCCTCTGCTGTCACCTTTTCAGCCTGTTGCAGAGAATGTTGTCCAAGAGAGAGGACCAGAGCAGTGACCAAACTTCTACTGTTCAGTGGTTTGGGAACTCACCTGGCAAGATACGTCTTTTCAACTGTGCCAGCTGTATGTTTTGTATTAAATAGTCTGTATTAAATGACTAAAATACAGAATGTGCCCTTACCTTGTCTATGGGACACAGACACCTGCAGGACTGGCCATGTACTCCATCTACCAAGCCAGGGAGACGTGCTGATTCTCATGCACCCTTTTCCAGTCCTCCTCAGCCCCACAAACATCTGCCACGGTGGAGGGAGTCACTGTCAGGTGCCCTGGGCTTCCTGCTATTTGGTGCACGCAGCTGGCGTGGGTGGGTTTCACTCAAGGGAAGGTTTGAACACAATTTCCCAGCTCTTACAGGAGCATTTCACAGGGAGGCTGTTACATAAAAGACAGGTAACATCTCCTCCTCCTCCACTGCCCGCCTTCTGTAAGGAAACCAGCAGTGAAAGTGCATTTTGTGAAAAGCTTGATCTTGACACTCCAGGTCAAGTGTTGAAAGTGCACGTTGCTAGTGCAGGATGCTCAGAGAGTTTGGGGAAAGAAATCTTCCTGTTTTCAGCCCCAAACTGGGGTTAATGGGGTGATTAACAGCATACTTGATTGGATTAAATTTTTTTTCAATTTTTTTTCTTGAACTTTAAGGTAAAATAATGAGGAATATTCCCAGACAAAACTGCAGCATAAGTGGCCATGAGTGACTTAAGGGTTAGGTAACATTATGCCTGTGTTCTCCTGTATGCACACTCAGAAATCAGATTTCAAGATGTCATTTTAAAAATTGAAGAGTTTTGACAGTAGCCCACTAGATTTCAAAATGGCAACTACAGATACTGGAGTATTTTAATCTTTAGAATTTATCTGATATTAATATAAATTTATATTTTTTCTGCATTACAAAAATACCTATTGTTTGATTTGCTGCTTAGCTGACTTTCTCACCTCTGCCTTTAAGACTTGCTTAATTTGTATCTCATCACAAATGATGATTTCCCATATTGTCATTTGCTGGTAACATATTTTCCCATATATTGTTTTCCTTTCAGATAGCTAGGTCAAATGTGCACAAGCCACAAGTGTTAGCTTATATATTCCAAGCTATCTTTTATGTTCTTTTCTTTTCCCGTACAGCTGCCTATACAGTTTCTTAAATTATCTCATCATGCTTAAGATGCTGAGGCCTAAAAGTTGAAATTAAATGACAGGTTTAAAACCAGGTCTACTGTCTCTGTACCTTGAACTTTGAGTTACAAAAGTTTACTGAGAGAAGGAAATACACAATATATTCTGGGTAAACTGTAAGTTCATAGTGAAAATTAATAATACTGGGAAAGAAAATTAATGGATTGAAAGAAACTAAAGTGACTCTGTTCAGATGCTTTTAAGTAAAATAATATATTCTGAAAAGTCACTTTTGTTCTATGGTAAGGTGGGAGCTATATGTTAATTTCTTTTATTCCTGGATCATTTTCTCTCTGAGGTGTCATCAAGTTGAGTTTTCAGTACTACATTGAAATGAATATTCATCGCAGAGTTACAGCTTTTGAAAAATCTGTAGGGAAAACGAAAAAAAGCCCTGAACCCCTTTTCTTCCCCCTCTTCATGCAGCTGTGAACAGGCACAGCTCCCATGGGTTAGCAAAGCTGCACACAGCATCCGTGTTCTTCTGGGCAGGGCCTTTGAGCTCTGCAGGTGTCCCCTCATGTGGGACCAAGAGGTCAAGACAAATGTAAGAGTTTTGAGGGTTGGGGCTGCAGGAACGATGAGAACAATGAGAACAGGGGCAGCCCTGGTACTCCCTCAAGGAGACAAAGGGACTTGAGCTCATTGTGGTCAGGCAGAACCCCTTTGGGGAGGTTACAAAGCAGCTTTGGGCTGCTGGGACCAGGACTGCTGTGAGCAGTCCTCCAGCACTGAAAAGTCTACAGATTTTCAGGAAAATGGACAAAATGGCATTAATGGGTGAGTGAAATGGTATGGATATTGGACTGGGGGCAGGGAGTTTATGAAATAAGAGAGAATTAAGGGGTATGTCACAGCTCTCACTGCTCAATAATGTGGTTTTAAAGATCTGATTGATAAAATGGAGTAACAAGGTGAATCCCTTGGCTCACAAGACAGGTAGAGCTTTTCCCCAACATTCTCTTTAAGAGCTATGTTTTAAAAGCAATTTCAATTATGTGGAGAACAATGCTGTGGAGAACAATGCTGCCATAAATTGCACAGTAGGTTTGCAATTTACAAGTAAGGAAAACACTTTCAAAAGGGTGAGATTGGGGTGGTGCAGCTAAACCCTTCCAAAAACTCAGGAGATGGAGCCTCTGCATGGCCCTCAGCTCCTGCTGTTTCCACTGCACCCACTAAAATGCCCCCAATGGGACATATGGTACTTGTCCAGAATAAAATTGCCATTTTATTGACATAAAGTGATGTTATGAGCACTTCTGATTTTCTTTTTTCTAATCTTAACAAAGATTGTTTCCATTCTATGATACATGGACTTTTGGGCTCAGTGAGCAATAAAAAGGGTGCATTTAGTGCCACATAGTGGTAAAAACCCAAAACATTCAGTGAGGCTGAATATTCTGAAACCATGCAGGACATTAGGTGTTAATGCTGAACTTGTAAAAGTAAAAATAAATTGCAAATAAAATTAGGATGTACCAATCAATTTGTGATGTGTATCACCAAGATTTCGTTGTTGGAGGATGGTTTATACCACTAGCTAGATAAATGTGCAATATAGGAATTTTTTTGACTCTGTATTTAGAATTAGCTTGCTTTGCAGCAAGCAGAGCATTTTGTTCATTTATAGCCTTGACAAAATGGTGAGGGATGTGATAGTGGAATTGGCCCTTGCAAGTGGCACAGCAGCCACAGGGCAGAGCCATCCTGGATTAGAGCTGTAAAGGAGTCTCAGAAATGGCAGTAATATGGAGCAGTCTCTGAAGAAAAGGCTAATTTGGGATCTCTGGATTGGGAAGACATTTGCACATTTTGGGAATGAGTAGTTTTCTTGCTCAGGTGATGCAGAAAAGTATTACTGCTGTCAATAAGACAGGTAATGGTATTTCTGCAAGGGTAATGGATGTGTTGCAATTCATCTCCAGCCATCCAGCACCAGAAAAAGCTAGATGAAACAAAACCTGCAATGGTTAAAATAAACTGAAATAAACTAGGCTGAAATGAACTAATAAGACCAAAATTTCCCATCGAGCTCCCCAAAAGATGAATACACCTAAACAAGGTATGTTTGTATAGGGTTGTGAATGGGTCAAACGTGGTGTAACTTCAGATTCAGGAAATACAGTGAAAATGAGCTCTTGTTCCTGCTTCTGCTGTGCTACATGATCTTTCAGGGGCTCCAGAGGGAATTGTGGCACCTCTACCTACACAGTAGGACAATGAAATATTTGGCTGCTGGCATAGCATAGGAATAGCACAGAACAGTACTGTTTTGTAGATAAAGGAACTAAATTTAATGTTTTTGCATTTTGTATTGGGATGCTCACTGGCAAAGTGCTTCAAAATATGGATTTGATTGTTTATACAGTCTTCCTTCAGTTGCAGAGTTCAGCTGATGTCTGTTGCCTACTCCTCTGAAAGCAAATTCTTCCACTTCACCACACAGACATTTTTCAGGTAAGGAAGCATCAACTGCTGTAATTTTTGCTTCAGGCACACTATTTGGAAGGGTATTTAAATTTATTTTAAAGTAATATCAATGTATTGGTACAAAAGTCTTATGGTGCCATAGAAAATAAATCTATGTGATCTGGGTGAGATGGCTCAGTAGCACACAAAACTGCACAGAATCCTCCATGCTGAAAAAAATCAGAAAAGGTGTTTGGGGTTGTTTTGTTGTTTTAACCACGGAAGAACCTACAAGGCAGCCAGCCCTGCAACAACCACACAGCTGAGGGTGCCAAACAGGCTCAAAGGTAGTGCCAGTGAGGCCTGTCCTGTACAGCTGTGGTGGCACATGTGTGGACTTGGGATGCATCCCAGAGATGCTGGTGTATAAAGACAGCCTCCAGCTGATTCATGGCTCCAGCAGCCCTTATTCTTGTGCAGCTTCTGCACAATATTGAACCTTTTGGCTAAGAAAATAATTTTAAAACCAGAGAAAAGGAGAAGCTACTCAGTGTGAGTTAGTGGGAGTCATTAAACCCAGGCTGTTCCACAAATGAGAAGAAATTAGCATTCAAGATTCAGGGAATAAGCTCAGTAGAGTTTATTTTTACAGTCCAGCGTGCTTGCAAAGTTCCTGGCAGCACATGGAAGGAGTGAAGTGATCCATATCACTGGCATATGGAGCACATGCAAAGACAGCTTTTGTGAGTAGTTTGACAACTATTTGGCTGCATTCTGCTGAAAATATTTGTGACAGCAGCAAGTCAGAGATGCCACAAAGATGACAAATTCTTTGAAGTCCACTTGGGAATCTCCATTTTCATCCAGGTTCTTGAAGACTTTATCAATAGCATTCTTGTCCTTCCCAGACTGCAAAAGAAAAAGAGCAGGTTGTGGTGAGAGGATGCACAACTTCAGTGCAGCAACTTCTCCAAACAAGGTCCTTGGTTGGGCTCTGGGCCAACCAAGGGCCCTCTGGTAAGGTGCTGTGTGCTCCCACTGTCTGCACAGCAGCAGCAAGTAGCTAAAGCATGTGCTTCTCAGTTTGTAACACCTGAGAGCTGCAGTCATGCACTGTCACAGAGAGGCATGGTTGCTACATTTAAAACAGCATTTATCACCATTAAATCTGTGTAGAACAACGCCCTGAGGACAGTACCCAGATGAATCAAATGCTATGAGTTCCCCATCCATTCCCCTGGGAAGGCTCAGCTGGAGCACAGGCAGTTTCCAGTTTTGCAAAAACATGCTTTCCTGGGGCAAATGTAAAATTTAAACTTCATTGAATACTTCCACCCCAGAAAATATGCAAACAGCCTCAAAAGTGCTTTGGGTGCTGCCACTGGCCTTATGGCCCAGCAGAAGCTGTTCACAGGAGCTGGTGGCTGGGAAGGTGCCTCCTGAAGCCTGTGGGATGCTGAGCTTGGGTTACCAAAGCAAATATTCTTCTAAGTTGTAATTATTCTTCTAAGTTGCCATTTTTCTGATGGAATGACTGAGCACCATCATCAGCCACAGCCAGCAGGGTTTCATGAGAGGAAAGTCTTGCTTAACAAACCTGACTCCCTTTTATGATAAAGTAACCCCCGTAATTGATCAAGGGAAGCCAGTTGATGTCTTCTTTATGGATTTCAGCAAAGCTTTCAATACTGTCTCTTACAGGATCCTTTTGGACAAAATGTCCAGCACACAGCTGGATCAACACATGATGGGATGGCTGAGCAACTGGCTCATGGGTGGGGCAAAATGGGGGGACACCAGACTGGGGACCTGTCACTAGGGGCATTCCACAGGGCTCCATCCTTGTCCCTTGCTCTTCAACATCTTCATAAATGATGTGGCTGCAGGACTGAAGCACTACTGAGCAAGTTTGCAGATGACACAAAACTGGGAGGAGCTGCTGACTCTGTTGATGGCAGGGAGGCCTTGTGGAGACACCTCAACAAATGAGAGGGCTGGGCAATCTGCAAACATATGAAGGCAACAAGGAAAAATTCTGAATTCTGTACCTGGGATTGGACAATCCTGGATGTACGGAAACACTGGGGAATGAGATGCTGGAGAGCAGTGCCAGGGAAAGGGACCTGGGGGTCCTGGTCAGTGGCAAGTTGAATGTGAATCAGCAGTGTCCTGGCAGCCAGGAGGGCCAGCCCTGTCCTGGGGGGCATCAGGCCCAGCATTATCAGCCGGGCCAGGGAGGGGATTGCCCTGCTCTGCTCTGCACTGGAGAGGCCTCACCTTGAGTGCTGGGGGCAGTTTGGGGCACCACAATATAAGAAACAGGGATAACTATCAGAGTGTCCAAAGGAGTGCAGTGGAGAGGGTGAAGGGTCTTCAGGGGAAGCCATGTGAGGGGTGGCTGAGGGCACGTGGTCTGGTCAGCCTGGGGAAAAGGAGACTGAGGGGAGAGCTCACTGCAGCTACAACTTCCTTGTGAGGGGAAATGCAGGGGCAGACACTGATCTCTGCTCCGTGGTGGCACTGACAGGACCCCAGGGAATGGCCTGAAGTTGCGTCAGAGGAGGTTTAGGTTGGATATTAGGAAACAGTTCTTCACCCAGAGGGTGGTTTTTTGGGTTTTTTTTTTTTTTTCATTTTGCCAAAATATATTGAAAAGAAAAGAAGCTTACAGGAGGGCTTTTTGGCGCTGATAATCTACAGGGATTTTCGAAGCTGCAATTTTAATATAAACAGGAGATGGCAGTACAGACCTGTTAAATCTAGGAAACAATCATGGGGCTTTTGTAGAAGGCAAAAAAAATATCATATAATACTAGAAAGAAATTATATAAACTTCTGAAAAATTTCCACCAATTTAAAACTATTACTAGCTAAATTTAAATCTGAAAGCAATTTTTGATCATGTTCCAATTAGCAAAATTTTTCATCCTGCAATTTAATGTTTCACTTTAAATGCAGATGTTTTTAAATCACTAAAAATTGAACCATTTCAATAGATTTGACAGATGAATGTGTCTGGAAGGTTTAATTATTTTCAATTCATAAATTACATTGTTTTAATTTTATAAGTGAATATTTCAAATTATTTAGTGAACTATATGAACAAGTTGTAGCATTTGAATTATTTCTGAGATGCAAAAATGGGAATTGTTTTTTGGAAATTCTTTATAACTGAGTCCAGTCCTTCAGTCCTGTGATATTTATGCCTGCTTGATTCAAGACCTTTCCAGGAAGTTGTGATCTGAAGTTGATTAACCAATTCTAAGCCCAAAACTATACACGAGTGATTAGAAAACACTGTTCCCTAGATTTTCTAGCAAATGAAAAAATACAGATATAAATGGCAGGAAAATGCAGGTAGAACTTTTTTTCTGAAGTCAGACTTATGTTCTCAGTTTTTTTTTCTTGCAGGTATCAGTCTGGCAAGACAGGAACATGGAATATTATTGGTTTAAATTTATAAAATACTGGCATAAAAATGTGGGTGGGGGTTTGGGGTTGTTTTTGCTTTTGTTTTTCCTAGAAGAGGTAAAGCAGGAAAGGGAGATGGAGACTGGAATATAAGAGGACAATTAGCTAATTATCTTCCTGGAAAATTCCAGTTTTTCCACCACTTGCAGGAAATAGGTAGAGCCAGTAAAAGCAGCTGTGGGGAACTGGAAGAAGTGGTGGCAGGCCACCAAAAAGTCAGGACAGACCTGTGGGCATCATCCCATTTGGTAGCTGCTTACTGCAGTGCCTCCCCAACCTTATTTAGACCAAATGCCAGGTGTCTGGGGGATTTCCATGCCATCATAGAATTGTGGTTTTGTTGTTGGTTTAGTTTTTCTTGACATGGAAGTGTTGTGGGTACCACAAAGCTCCATGCTCAGGAGCAGGACCCTTCTGTGATGCTGTTGGGTCACGAGCACTCATCTGTCTTACACAGATTTCTCACAAACTCTGGAATATATCCCCCCTGAGCCAGATCCTCATTCTGAATATTCCATCTCTTTTAATTTAAATATGTGAGATATAACTCCAGCAGGCATGGATTTCATATGGTGAATTCACATAGCTTGCATGGAAAGGTACTGAATTGTATCAAGTGCCCTGGCTACAGTGCCCTGAAATAGTTGTTATAAAACTGAAGAATGCTGGATGCAAAAACAGACCCACACAATGAGCATTTGGTTCTAGACTTTTGCCATTTAGAACAGTAACATTTAGAACAGTAACAAAACAGTACAAATATTACCCCAATGTGGAAAGAACAATGTATTTAAAAATGTTTTCTGGATTTTTAGTGAAGGGAAACAAATTTTAAAAAACAATTGAAATTGTCTCCCTGGAGGCTAAACCTTGTACTAGAATATATTAAGCACTTTGAATACCTACTGAAAAGCACTTTATGATTACATGCAAATCTGTGTTGTACAATATATATCCATGTCTTTCTTTTGCTGTTAAAGACAAATTCCAAACAGTTTCATTTGAGTTCATCTGTTCTGTTTTACGCATCATTTTGATGAGCATACTGAGTATGCAGTATAAATACCTGGAGAAGGTAAATGTATAAATATTTAGAGAGATTCTCCATCTGCAATCAAGATCCTCAATTGCTGACAGCACAACCACCTTCACAGAAGTTGTGACATGAAGTGAGATGATAAATCCAGGGAAAAACAGAAGTATGTGAATTCTGAAATTGAAACGAAATCTATTTCAAATCCATTGTCCTGATATCTCAAGTGATGAATTTAGAAAACTGGGAATGGCCCTGCATATTAACCCAGTTTTACACAGTTTGTGCAAAACCTTTTTTAAATTTCATATTTTCCTACAAACCATTGCATATTTTTGGATATAATTTTCCTAAAAATGTACTAAAAACTGTTTCTGCAGGCTGCTCTTGCACCTGCTGCACAGAAATATTGCCGCGCTGTTCTCTTACCGCAAGGAAATTTGGGAGCTCCTTTTCCAGCAGAGTCTTTAGTTCTGCTTTGCTGAGGGTTTGCCTGTTGCCATCAGTCCTTGCATACTGGTCAAAGACAGCAATGGTCATTCCCATTGCAGTTTCCAGCTGAGACATGTTGCTTCTGGAGCCTGGCTTTCTCCTGAGCAGGCACAGCCTCAGGGCTCTCTTGGAGGATGGAGCCTGCTCTGCTTCTGGGGTTTTTTATGCAATCAGTGGCTGCACACCCAGGGGACAGTTATGCATTAGCAAACACCTGTATCTGGAGCACACCTCCGTGCCAACACCTTTTCAAAACTAAAGGTTTATTGTCCTGGTGTGACTGGTACAACCAGTTAGTTGCTCACCGGTAGAAACCAGCCTCTCCTTCAATGTACACAACGTGACTAACAAACAAAAATCAGATTTTATTATTGGCTGTTTGCTCTAGATTTGTTCTTTCAGATATCCTTTGGGAGCAGAGGGTTGGCAGACCAGTTTTGATGCAGTATCAGCCTCCCCTTCAGGAGCAAGATGAGCATCTCACCTCTCCCTCACCAGCACAGTTAGAGACTGTGAGGGGCTGAAGATTTGCACTGCCCTCCCGGCCACACTGAGCACTTTGTTACAAACCACATAAATCACTAGCACACACTTGGGGTGGGATTCTCTGGATGAAAAGCAGAGATCTGCCATGCAGACATATAGCACAGTCCTCCTGGGCTTGTGCTCAGTCCATAGCAGCTGTCTCAAACACATCTTGTGAACCAGCATCTCTCCACAGCCCTGTCCAGGGCCAGCAAAGGGAGCCTTGCAGAGCTGCTCCACAAAAAACTTGCTCAGGCAGAAATATCTGAAGTAGTAAATCCGATACTTAGCAAACCAGTATCAAAATCCATCTTCATCTGCAGTAAAATAACTTGCTATTTACTTTATACAGTACAAATTTTGCAATAAAATGACTTTTACTGAAAACAAAAGATCACTCTCAAGTCCTGTGTCCCTCTCAGGCCTTTGATGATCTTTGTGGTTTGCCTGTAAACCGAGGTCCTCCATCATTAGACACCAAACTGCTGGGCTCACACCTACCCAGAGCAGAGCTGTTTGAGGGTCTGTGCTGGGAGCTGGTGGCACCTGGACAGTGGGAGCACAGCTGGTGGAAGCTCATCAGCTGCAGCCATGCTGAGTTTTGAACAAGTTCTGCTTTCTGGCCAAGCACAGGGTAACTTGGTCTCTGTCGACTCCAGGTGCCTACACCAGACCTGGAGGAGCTCATTTGAGGTGAGTGACATGTGGAGTATACAGAATGGACACACTCTGAGCAAATTATTTGGGGGAATCCATCAAAACAAGGCCATTGTGCATGAATAATGCTGATGGACCCCAGGGTGCAGTGTCTTCTATACAAGACCCTGATTGTGGATTCCCAAAATTAAACCTGAGTTTGGATGTCTTTGGACATCCTTGAAGATGCTTGCAGATAACTTTCTACTCACAATATGCTAGAGATGAGTTAGGAAAAATTGGTTTTTAATTAAGCAAAACTTAAAAAATTAAACTCCTTTCTCTCAAATGCCTATAGCCACCTGTTCCCCAGGCAAAATCTGTCCTCTAACATCAACAATATCTCAGAGAAAGACTACACATCCCATGCATGTAGAAATCTAGAACCATTCTGAAAAAAAAACCCCTATGATTTTCCATCTTATATTTTCCGACAAGTGATTTTGCATTTCCCAAAAATCACAGCAGCACCTCAGGCTGCTGAGGTTTATTCAAACAGTTTGTGAGAAATATTTGTTCCTGATTTCAACCTTATGACATAGTTGCAACTGATTTGCATTACAGGGATGAGGGTTTTAAGTGAAGTTTTAAATTTTTACATTAAAGTGCATGTTGAAATCTGTGGGGTTTCTTCTTCAGAAGAAACTAGAATAAAGCAAACAGCTGGCCCTTTTCAGCTATGAACATGATCTGGTCTTTACACACACCCACACAAAGGCACTCTCTGGTGTGTCAATTGCCAGGAACTTTTCTGTGTCCTTTTCTGACATGTCTGTAACATGAATATTAAACATGGCCAGTAAAGAAAAAGTAAGTTCTTGCATCTAAAGGAAAAAAGAAATTAAAATGTGTATTTCATGCATTTTTATGACTTTGAATCATGAATATCAGTGTTAGCTATACAGAAGGAAGAAAGAGTTCCCAAAAGGGCAGAGAGGGAGATCAGCTTCAGTCAACAGGATGTGTCAGTATGTCCACAACTCTCCCACGTAACGTGGCAAGAAGGTGTTCTCACACATTTTCCTCTGCAAACATAGGTGACTCACAGTTTTTGATGATATGACTGCAAAAGTGCTAAAACACAGAATAAACCACAGAGCTTGAATTTCTACTAACGGAAAGGTCACCACGGTAGTGCTGCCTGGTTGGGTTTGTTTGTTTCTGATGTGTATTTTATCTGAATTCATGCATGTGCACACACATCAGTACTGCTCAGAGTTTTCAATTCACTCTTTCTGTATTGTTTAAATATTTTCTTATGATTTGTTTGTCATTAAAAAGAGCAGCTTTGTGCACACAGCACAGACTATTACAGTTGTTTGCAAAACCAAAACAGAGTACAAATAGAAGGCCCACATAGGAGAGCTGGCAGTATTTTGATACCAATCCATCTGTCCAGCTCCCCAGTGAGAGAATCCATTTCTGTGGGCTTGTTTAAATTTTGTATTGTAATTATAATATAAATAATACTCATTATTTGCTTCTTTCAAGTTTCTTTCTTTGAAGAATGGTATAGGCAACAGTTTGGATGAGCATTTGTATAAGCTGAGTGTTTGTACAGAATTGTGTCGTGGTGCTCCTAACTTGGACCAAAAGTTTAAATTATATATGTGATAAAATGGGGACTGTCACATGCATAATTTTCAAAACCCATTCAGGTGTATCCCAATTTTATGGCACTTGGTCAGATATTCAAGCTTACATGAGATTTGTGTGACTGTGCTGATATTCTCTTAGAGAATAAATTTTATTCCATGTTCTTTGCAGCAGTGTCTGTTTTGGAAAAGTCTGAAGAAATAGATTTTTCAGTTCTACTGTAAAGGCCCATTTGTGTCACAGCCAGATGAATAGCTGAAATTGTAAACTTCTACTAGAGCTTTTCATCCCTTACACCTTATCTTATTCCTAAAGGTGCAGGAAGCTACACAAGGAGGACTTTTTGACAATTTCCACAAATCTGTTATGTATCTGGATGCAAGAAGCAGAGGAGGAAGAAAACAACCTGAAATTATGAATTTGTTATTTTTCTGGTTTCTTGGCAGCAATATGAAAAGCAATTTCTTTTCCTCTTAGCAAGAGAGTAACATTTCAACAATAAACAAACATTTCTTTTTCCACATTGAGATAAAATTATCAAACTCCCTGAATTTTCCAGTGTCCTGGACAGTCTGTTGAACTTCAAGCATAAACACACTTCATTTACTTTGCACTGCTTCTCAAAATTTTCAGTGTCTGGTTAACAGTTTTTAAAGATCATTTCAATTCTGCAATACACAGTGAATTTATTTACATCTAGTGAGCAGATGATGCAATTACTACATTGCTTAGCAGAAAAAGTAAAAAAAGAGCAGACTAAACAGGCACTGGTGGGGCACAGGCAGAAGAGGAGTTCATACAAGCACAGTGTGCTGCTCAGTGACACACTGGATAGGTCCTGTAAATTATAGACAGACCAGTTTTCATTGTTTTATTATCATTTACTTCTCAGAATATCCTTAAAAATGTATTTTAAAAATGCAATTAATAAGCTCACGTACCATTTCAGTGAAGTTTAAAGGCAGGTGAAATGGATAAGATTGAGGTCAGTTAGCTGGCTGTGTGATTTCCTGAGTTGAGAGTTGGAGTAATAACACTGTCATCTGGCAAAGCTGTGCCATGGGAAACTCACTCGCAGCACTGCATATTGACTCTGATCAAACACATTTATTAGTGCATGAGACATAGCCACATTAGACTGTAAAATCAATGAATATATTTACAGCCAATAAATTAATATTTGCAGGGTAAATACTTCTGTCTAGTTTTCACTCCTTGTTTGAATAATTTTCTGGATGCCATTCTTTGCAGGGCTCTTTTATACTTCAGTTTTAAGGTTCTTGATGTTAAGTCTTCCAAAAATACTTTTTATTTTTGGTTGTAATGACAGAAAAGGAGGTCACACCCTAAAGTAACCAAATGTTGTCCACACAAGTGCTGTAGTTTCTAAATCTGATTCCTCAGCCAGTCTCTCACCAGCAGCCCAAGTGTCATTTGCTTTACTTTAACACTTATGTAAAATCCCACTCAGCTATCAGCCAATCCTGCTGAGCTGTGGTGAGCATAGCAAAAAGTTGGTCTATGGCATGGTCAGAAAAAATAGGGGAAAAAGAAGAAAAGAGGAAGGAAAAGAAAAACAAAGAGGAAAAGAAAATGAAAAAGGAAAAGAAAAAGAGAGGAAAAATCAGAAAAGCTCAAAAACAGCTATGAGGGAGGATAGCTGTTTTGTAACAAAGCAACTGCGTATACCTTTAAAAGGAAGTTCCTATTTGATACAGAGAGGTAAAACATGCAAAAATGAATAAGCCAATTCCAACAAAGCTCTCAAGGGACTTCCTATGCAGGGAGGAATATTTTGGCTCTGTTAGCTGTCATGCTTAATTATGAATTAAGCAATACACTTTTTCCTTCGTTGTACAAAAAAATTTTCAAGAGGAAGGAATACCTAAGAGAAAGTTGTTTAGTGTTGAGTGTCCATGCAGGAAACACACCAAAGAAACGCCTATGCATTTTCCTTTTAAAAAACGTCTTTTTTTTTCGCTTTTGAAATATGAATTTATGTGTACACTGAGGATCTGGGTAGGACTGACCTACTATCCCAGAACTGTGTGTAAAGTGAGGTGATATCCATAGATGCTGCCAGGAAGATTTACAAGGCAAATTGCCCGAGTGGAAGTTCCCCAGGCACACACATTTTACAGAGCTGGATGCTTTCAGTTTCCTGGAAGCAATCACAGAGTGTAGTACAACTGGTGTTGGGAAGTACAAAAGGAGTGGGGCTTTTTTAGCAGTTCTGTCACTGCTAATGGCAGAAAACG